TAAGGTGACTTTATGTGTTATCTTAGAGTTCCTGGCATATGTCCATTAGTTTTCTGACTTGTGAGTGTATTGCTGAGAGGAGTTATATACATCTGTAAGTCAAATAGACTTTTCTTTTTCTGAAATATTTAGACTTCAAAAACTTTTAAATAAACTTATACAAACTGACTGTCTGTTAACTTTAAAATAAAAATAAAGGATTGCATTATGTAGTGCACTTACAGACATAACTCTAACCATTTAGCAAGCTATTTTGGTGTTAGTGGACTTAAAATAAATTACATTAATAACAACTCTATATTTTCCTCTTCATCCCTTGCCTGCTGACAACTTTGTAACCAAAATTAGAAATAATTTAACTATCTCTCCTTAATTTTGCAGAAAGGCCAGCAAGTGGTTGAATTTGAGTTGAATGTTTGCATCTTTCTCTACTTCACTACCTGAAATAAGTTCTGTCTTTCTCTAAAGCTTCAGTGATCCTGCAGTCATTCAGTTCTTTTCTGTCCACTCTTACCTTTTGTGTCCTCAAGGTGCCTTATAAGTCTTGCAGATAAAATTGAGTGGCTTTGTCTGGGTGTCCATCTTCTGCTGTCAGGCAGCCAGATCACCTGTTAGAGAAGGTGGTGTTCAACCTGACAGACAAACCAGGGAGGGTGAAAGCAGTGTTCCCCTCAGCTGTGTGACGCTCAGGTGAGCGCTGCAGCATGCACAGGTACTTGTTTGTACAGTGGTGCCTATATCACCTCCCACTTGGTGTTCTTAAAGTGGCACAATCCTTCCCAAAGAAAGGATGAAGCTGTTCTGCCTTGATCACAGTTTGCTCAGGATCAGCAAAACAGTAGCTGGCTGTTCTCATATGCACAAGCTGCTTCAGGAGACAGTCACTTGTATTGAAAAATGATGGCCCTTTTTTTGCCAGGAAACCACTTGGGCTTTCCTTGTAAATCATCTTATTTACTCAGAAGTGAATAATCTGATAATAAATCTGAGTTATTTAATGAGTAGCACATGCAGCCTTCAGAGCATGAGGGCTGATACCCTTAAGGTTATTGCAAATCCAAGGGGTTCATGCACCCAACTATGTGTGTTCAACAACCCACTTGCTACTTACAAGCTTAACTATATTTAAATATTTAAAAAACCATGGCTACAGTAAGGCTGCTGCAGTATCTACTATATGGAGTAAAAAGCACATAGAACCCTTTCAGAGGCCTTGCTAAGCCAGCTCTGGCTCTGCTCCATGCTGTTGTGGAGGTGGCATTAAGTGGTCCCTGAGAACTGGCCCTTTTTATCTGTACACGGTACTGCATCTAGCACTCGTCTGATGACAAGGAGAGATGTGAAAGCCAAATTGCACCCTGGGTTAAAAACCCATTGGTGGGGACACTGAAGTCTGAGCAACTATCTGTCTTGGAATGGATATGTCTAAAAGGGTGTATGTTTGCACCTGCTGAAACCAAAATTCAGACTTCAAGGGTGTCCCTTTAGACCTCAAAGTCACCTACCTGGCAGTAGGATTTTTTTAAACCCTGACAAAGCACAGAAAATATGGCCTTGGGTATTTTTAAAGAAAATAACTGTTATGAATAATTATTCACATGATGGATATTTTTATAGAATTAAAAACAATTTTCCAAAAATTTGTTTGGGGAAAAAAAAACTTAATTGTTTTACACTGTACAAGACAGAATTAGTAATACTTTTCTCTCCAAACTCGACCTGTGACTTTCATCTCTCTTGATATGTGACGCTAATATTTCATTGATCTTGCCAAAACCAAGGTCCTTTTAAAGTTTCTTTCCGAGAAAAGAAACTTTAAAAGAAACTTATACCATTTTTTTTTTCTATCTCTTAAGATTAATCAATTTTTAATCTTACTTAATCCTAGTGGTGGTGTCATTACTCTCACCTTTAGAAGTTATGTTTTCCATTGTCTGGTTAATTGAACATCACACAGTTTTGTTTGTCAGCAAGCTGAGTGGTCGGGTACACATACAAGTAGGGGTAAATACATGGCAAATCGTGGCAGTCTTATAAGGCACAGCTAGTATTTAAGGTTAGGATAGGGTGGATTAGGCTTTTAAAATAAGTTCATAAGTGTTTCAGAAAATAACTGAAAACAAAGAGTTGCTAGCCTTGGAGAATCTTGTCTTTCTACAGGTTGGATAGTGCTGTGTTGCCCTTTCATTCAGATTTAGGAAATAAATTATGTGCTCAAATGCCAAACTGATCTGCTTTCCAGGCCAAGGCCACTGGTTCCAGACCTGCCTGCTGTCAGCAGGGCTGCTGGAAGGAGCAGCTTCAGGCAGGGTGAGAAAGATTTGCTTTGTTTGAGGTTTTGGGTCCTCATCTGTAATCACAAGTAGCTAGAGTGTCTGAATGGGGCTAGAATCTGTAGCTGTGGAGTAAGACACTAAGTCCTTTACCCCCTTCCCTGGGAGTCCACAGGTGAAAATGCCGAAAGATGGGGGTGAAGGAACATTTCTACTGGTGGCACATAGTCATTAGACTGACACCGAAGGCAGCCACTTTCTTTTACACACTTGTAATTAGCTCTAATTTTGGGATGCTCTGTAACCCCCCTGGAGATAAGCAGGATAAAATAAAAAACTTACCATGGCTTTAAATGTTTAGGGGTAATCCAACTTCATTCTCAGGCTGATGTTAATAATTGTAAACTTCCTAAACTTTATTGGAATACGATGAGTGGAAAACTACTGTATAAGGTGATGCTTGTGTTCCTGTTTCCTCATGCTTGTGGTAGTTAGTTTCACAACAGGAGTCACGCGAGGCTGAAGGCTCTGGGTGGTGAGCTGGTGGTTGCAGGCAGACACTGGTGAGCTGTAAAACGTTTGTGAGTTAAGAGTTTGAAAGTGAAACAGTGCCTATGGACTTTTAAGTCTTCATTTAGTCTCTGCATGCCTGTTTCAACTGGGTTAACATAGCAACATAACAGTCTACCTAGACCTTGCATGATATAGGATTCAGTAGTTTATATTTTGTCTGTGTTGTCCAAAATCATGGCATTAGTTAACAGCTTCTGAATTTCCTTATGTGCTGAATAGGTGCATTGAAAAAACTGAGGACTGCTCACAACTTTTCTCTCTGCATGTGTTGGGGTAAGGGTATGGTTCCTGGAACAGGGAAACATGGTCCTATTTAGTAAACATTATTGTGATGATCTGAATGTTGCTGAAGTGAATAATTAAGTAACCCGTGGAAGGAGACCACCTGCAGACATAAAATTTTTCAAGCAGAAAAGTATCTTGGTTTGATGTTAGCCCTGTTGCATTAATCATCCTAAGTAAATACCTGTAAGATAAACTGCTTAGTTTGCAGAGAATAACAGCAAGAATGATTCACAGGCCATGACACCAAGCAGAAAGCTGAATGGAGGCCAGGAAGATCCATGCCTTGTCATAGAGCAGGTGGTGTACTTAAAATATTTGAGTAACTGAATTTAAGCCAGTGCAGGAATGTTGTGCATGGCCAGTTGCTGGTCTGGAATTACAGTGATGTGCACGGCTACAAGGCTCCAGGCAGTCCCTTTGCTGGCCCCTGCATTCACACCAGCTGTGAGCATGCCTTCCCTCCTCTCTTACCTTCATACTTTGGCTGTTCTGTCTCCCTGTTGCACGGAGAGTTAGAGGAGTTGGTCTGGGTCTAGAGCTGGACGTTTCCTTGCTCAGCTCTTCACAACTAGGCTGGAACTAACAAAGCTCATGTGGGTGAATGTGACTGATAGCCAGGTGTTTGGCTCTGTGTGTATGGAGGCAATGCCCGGATGCGCAACCAGCCTTTGCACCATGTTGTGGAACTTATATACAGCCTTCATTGCTTAAACTATGTTGAAATCAGCTGCCCCAGAGGAACGCACAAAAAAAAATCAGACATCTCTGGATGTGCCTGTTACACTGCATGACTGTGCATCTAACCTTGGGAACCCATGACTGCAGTAGGTGACTGGACTCCAGTAACAAATTTGTTCAGAAAGCTTTGTCTTAATCCTTTATCTTGAGCTGGAGGGTCCAGGCTATGAGCAGCTTCTGCAATGATCAGAGAGTATAAGCTGCTTCAGAAACGTAGGCATACACCAAGCTCAGTCCCATAGGAATCCGAATCGAGTTTTGCCAAGCAGCTCTGTTGTGCCCACAAATAGGTGTTTCTGAATCTCTACTATCTAGCTTAAAAAAATTGTCCTTGTCATGGCTCTCCTGATCTCCCTAAACCACAAGGGCACTGTAACTCCTGTCAGCTCCTGTGTGTTTTCTTCCACATACATCCCACATGGCCTGGGACCTTGGGCTTCTTGTGCTGCTACTGTTTCTAGTCAGGAAAGGGATTAGGAGTTGCTGGAGGGTCTCAGGACAGGTGGCTTCTGGCCAACACTTTTCAGGTTATATGAAGGTTAAAGACCCACTCACTAAAACTTTCCCATGGGAGTCGTAAGGTAGGCGAGTCCCTGATGTGCTCATAGCTGTGTCACCCTAGCAGCACTGCTTATTTCTTCTTTCAGGGGATCTGTTATGGGTGAAAATGGCCAGAGAAATGCAAACTGAGCAGCAGCAGTGGTAGCAGGAGTGCCTGTACAGGTAGGTTTGGTAAGGAAAACTTATAGAAAGGATCCAAATACACACAACTTAGAGGCTCGCAGATAAAGAGGTGCTAGAAGATCTTGTGGCCATGAGTCACTTCAGGTATGTGCCCAAGAAATCTGCTTTTTACTCTTGTTCTAATAAGTCAGCAGGCTAACAGAGCAGTAGGAACCCACAGGTGGTCCTATCAAGAAACTCAGTGTGCAATAAATAAAAGAACAGACAAAATAGTCACTGCTCTTGTTGTAAGTAATTTCCTCTTTATGGCTGGGGTTT